CTATATATATATATATATATATATATATATATATATATATATATATATATATATATATATATATATATATATATATATATATATATATATATATATATATATATATATATATATATATATATATATATATATATATATATATAGGGGTTGGTTCAAGTGAGAATGCACCTTAGTGAAATAAATAAGAATAAAATCTGGCCTTTGGATCTGATGCATCGTGCGGATCAGATTGCATCGTGCGCTCACATTTTGAGATAGTGCATTTTTAAAAGATTTTAGTGCATTTCGACATGATGCATTTTCAAACCATTTTGGTACACCTAATTTTTATGCAATCCTGGCCATTAAATCTCACAATCTAAAGCACTAGATTCATTCTTATTTCTTTCATAAGATTGCATTCTCACTTGATCCAAAATCTATATATATATATATATATATATATATATATATATATATATATATATATATATATATATATATATATATATATATATATATATATATATATATATATATATATATATATATATATATATATATATATATATATATATATATATAAAATAGGAGATCATCCCAACCCTTTTGAGAATATGATTTTCAGAGGTAATAAATATTTGTAGAATTAAATTCGTAATTTAATTATTTATTTATTAATTTTTGGGAAAAACAGTTTTGGTAATTCGGTGTTTAATTCCCGAAAATTAAATAATTAATTTAAAATTATGGGAATTTATTATTTAGTAAAAATATCAAAATATTCTGAGAATAATGATTTTTGGAACAATTATGGTACAAGAAAAATAATTTTGGAAATTGTTTTATGGATTGCCAAATAATAAATAGAAAGTACTGAAAATAAATTTAAGTAAAATCTCGAAAAGATTGCTTTCAGATTACACCTGAGTCAAAAACTTTATTTTTGGAAAATATTGATTTTTGGAAAATTTGGAATATTCTAAATTAATTTTGGAAATTAATTTAACTCCTTTTGGAAACAAATTCCAAAATACCGAAAATACAATTTATTTAATTCTGGAAATTTGATTTTCAGAACAAAATGGACCCAAAGTGAATATATTTGGAAAATATTAATTTTTGGAAACTCGGAATTAATTTTTGGAAAATTGAAGTCCGATTTTGGGTATTTAAATATAGGATTTTGAAAATAAATTTTATAAATTCTGGAAATTTTATTTTCAGACTTATAAAATCAGATTACTCATTCTGGAATTTATTTATTAATTTTCAAAAGGTATAAGTATTTTTTTGAATTAAAATCCAAATTTCGAAATTAATACCTATATTTATAGCAATTAACTATTTTAAAATTCAGGAAAATTAAAAATTAAATTTTGGATATTCTGGAGTTTTAAAATAAAGTCAAATAAAATTATTTGATAATTTTTAGGCTTGTAATTTATTTTTCTTAGAATAAACTAGGTCCGGGGCGAGCGCGGCTTGCCTGGTGTATGGTTTTTATGGATGTGATGTATGAATGTATGCATGGTGCATGGTTGTGGCTTATAATGTTTGGTTTTTAAATACGGCCTGCGTGTCGTGTCTCATCTCTCAATTCTGGTTGTAAATCTCTTCTTAAACCTCTTACCACTTGCTTAAAAAGCAAGGATTCTTTTCTCTCGATTAAACAAAGAAGTCCATGAAGAAGCAAGGAAGATGAAGGAGCCAAGAAGAAGAGGATCTTAGCAAGAAGGGCTGAACTAGAAGACTAAAGCACTCTTAAAGAAAGAAGGTGAAGCTGGAGATGGAGATCTCAAGTGAAGGCTTTATCGTTAATTCTTTAGGAAGCCACAACCATGTCACGTTTTATTCATTATACATGTTTTGTATATATGTTTGTATGATATTCGCTAGTGTATGTGCGCGGCACATGCCATAGGTGAAATCACGTTTAAAATCTCTCGTAATATTAAGTTTGTGCCTTCCGACGCCGACTCACTCGTCAATACCAGTTTCGACCAGTCAATGGACACGCTAAAGCGGGACGCCTGGTTTACATTGGTATGACGCAAAATCCGTAACAATGGATACTGAGTACGCCCCGGGTTGAACTTAACTAAGTTAATGTAAAAAGATGAATAACTTAGAGGCACATGGTTAGGTTAATAAATAAAATCAAATTCATCTAACCTAGAGTTGTAAAATGTTACAATTGGAAAAAAGTTCCTACCTGAAATAGTTTAACTATAGGGCAAGATGCAAAGCACAACTATAGTTAGATGAAATAAGGATCTAGGCCCAATATAGGATTTTATTTAGAACAACCTAACAAACCAAGGATTGTAATTGGATTACAATTGGAAATAAGTTCTTACCTAATTAGTTTAACTGTAGGGCAAGATGCAAAGCACAACTATAGTTAAATGTAATATGGACCTTGGCCCACTAAGATATCTCTTTGGAGAAGTATCGAATCAACAGGTTACGTACTTGAGGGTAGTTGATTTGTTAAAATAGTGGGAGAGTTATTAGTTAAAGACCTAGCTAATTACTTAGATTCTTGATATTAACTATCTTGCAAATTATATGTAGATGTCTGATAACAACCATAACCTCACTCTTCGCTCAATCCTCGACAAAGATAAGTTGAACGGGTCTAACTTCTTAGACTGGCAAACAAACCTCGTTATTGTTCTTCAACTCGAGAAGAAAGAATGCGTGCTCAAACGAGCCATCCCACCTGTCCCGGCCGCCAATGCTTGTAGAGCTATCAAAGATACTTATGAGAAGCACGTTGATGATGACAATCAGGTGGCATGTCTCATGTTGGCTATGATGACTTCTGACCTTCAGGAACATCACGAGAGTATGAAGGCGTACGATATGATCATACACCTAAGACAGCTCTACCAAGGACAAGCTAGGCCTGAGAGATTCCAAATCTCCAAAGCTCTCTTTAGTTGCAAGTTGTCAGTTGGAAACCCCGTTGCAAGATGATTGGCTACATCCAAACTCTTGAGAAATTGGGTTTCGAACTAGAGACTGAACTTGCAACTGATCTGATTCTGCAATTGTTGCCAGAATTGTACAAGCAGTTTGTGGTTAATTACGAGATGCATGAACTCGATTAACCACTGCCAGAACTTTTGAAGATGCTGCAAACTACCGAAGAGAGCTTGACGAAAGGAAATGGGAATTCTCTACTCCTAGTTCAAGGAGGAAAAGGCAAGAAGAAGTTCAAAAAGGCAAAGAAGAATGGGCCTAAAGGCAAGGGTAACACCGAGCCAAAGTCCAATTCTTCCAAGCTCAAGGCTAAGGGTGGAGTGGCCAAAGATTCCATTTGTCATCACTGTGGAGAAGTTGGCCACTGGAAGAGGAATTGTAAGCAGTATTTGGCAACCAAGAAAAAAAGGTGAAGCTTCTGCTTCAGGTACAGTTGTTGTAAAGACTTAAACTAATCTACAATCTCTTCAAAAGTATTCAATACTTATAGTATTGAAAACCGTTGTAGGAACTGAAGAGAAGTAGGAGTGTTGATCTTGAAGATGCAAGGGTTGCAGCTTTGTGGTGCATTAGTTTAAGTTTTAGTATTTGATCAGTTTTCAATTTTGAATTGATGTTTACTTATTGTTTTAAGTATTATTGTTTATTTCAATAAAGGACAAATTGTTGCTTCATTTATAGAAGTATTTCATATGATCAAATATTTTGCCTCGCAAGCATATCACAATACAACAACTATACCAAGGCTACAGAGTACAAATATTAATCAGTTAATAAGTTTTTCACAAAATTATGAATAAAGTGATAACCACTTAGAGGTACAAGGATATCTTTATAAAGGTTATAGCCAACTACCCTTTCTATTAAAATTTTCGAAATTTAAACTTGCCATTAGCATTAATAAAGCACCCTTAATAAAGATCAAGTGATATTAATGCCAAATTTACATAATAGGAAAGACAAAAGTGATACGATCATAAAATTGACGTTCCCTCAAACTTTATCTAGATAACGTGACTAAAATAGTTAGTCTAATAAAGAGGATTATGTAACCTTTCCAAATGCTACTGAAACTTAACCACAAAAATGATCATTGTAGATTCTGAAAGGAAAGAGCACTTGGAAATGTTCCAAAACGATTCCTTTCTTAAATAAGAAGTAATGAAAGTAAGTCTCATATGAATGAAGACACTTTAAACACTTGTTATGGACGAGTCTATCAAGGATAAAAGGAAGGGTTTCGAAAATCTATAACTAGTTATAGCACTTATATGTCTAGGGTAAAAGTCTTATTGAAGACTAGTGGGCGCACAATGAGTATGTTACATATCATTGACAAAATAAATTAAAAACTTATTAGTCATGAATGCAAATAGTAGTTATGTGCTCAAGTATGAAGAATCCATATAGATGGATCAAAGAACTAGGAATAATCTAAGACCAGTACATACATGGAAGTTTTTTTTTTGAAACTTGCATGAATCTCAAAGTAAAGCCTTTTTGGAGACTCACTCTATAAAAGAACCGCATGGAAATCGTTCTATGGAGTACCATGAGATACGGGCTTGATTCATTCTTAAAGGATATATTTTATATATGTCTAAACTGAGCTAAGAGTAGTATAAAAGTTGACTTTTGATTCTTAAAAAGAGAAAAAAGAGTATGGTTTTCTAAAATGGCTTAAGTGTGAATGTTACACACAAAATAGCTCGTTTAAAACAACCATAGGGTAGGTTGAAATTAACAAAACATATATTGACAAGCATTGACATGGTGTCATACGCAAGGTAAATTTGCAAATATTTTGGTTTTGTAGCTTCTCACGAATGGATAGCGTTGCTCCCAGCATTAGAAACCAATATCTCGTTGTACTGACAACGATAGGGTTACTACAGGAGCTAAAGAAGCTACACCTAGAAACCAAGACGTCATTAGATCTCACCACATTATACGAACAGTCGTAAAATGAAAGTATCAAAATTTGCAAGATAGAAAAGGATAAACAATGCCTTAACCTATTGACCCAGGCTTTGGGAAAACCTATACAGGAGGGTCACACTTCATGCATGAGGCATACATGGAAACCATAATTGGCCTTAGTGCTAGTGGGAGATTGTTGAATATAAGTGAGCCCTAAAGGCCAACTTATGATTCCATATCTATATTATATCAAGAACAATAGGCCCTAAAGATTGTTTAAGTCGTCTCGTGTGATTTAAACATAGCTTTAGTCCATAGAGTAGGCGCTCTAGTAACATAGATGAGAACTACGACGTTATAATTATGAGTCTGTTACAAAGATAGAGGCTATGTCTAAAATATCCTTAGTCGAATATTATGACAATACGGACATCATAATATATAAAGACTAATACGTATGAGATGAGATAGCTGCGTATCATAGGCTATAGATAAAGTGTTATCTGAATCTATAGGTAGGCAACCATATTGGATATGTTGCTGGATTGACCCGCTATGAGAATAATATATGGGTTTGAGTTAAAGTGTTAATATTATTCTCATGCGACCATTAGTATAACTATCCTTTGACTTGAAGTTATTACATTCTTTGGTAAGTTGAGTTGTATACTTTGAGCCATGATTTATGTCATCTGAAATATTGGTGGATGTACAGTTATGTTTTGGGTATGCAATGAAACTCAAGCGAAGATGTGAATGACGTAGATAGAATTTATCCCTTCTTTAATGAAGTATAATATCTTAGGGCCCACTGATTGATATGACTTGGGAAGTGCATGGCCATGCCCAAATAAATATGTTATTTGAATCCCACAAGTCAATCGAAGAATCAGTAAACCATCGATTTAACTTTAACAAGGTGACACACCCCATACCTTGTGTTAAATCAAGATGTTAGTGATAAAGGGATAAGGGTTATACAAATAGGATGTGTCGTTGAAGGAATTGTTCCAAGAGCTTTAATCTATAATTTGGGGGTGATAATGTGTTGCTAGATACCGCTTATCACTTGTAGTATTTAATCGATACTATGGCCAATTTTATAGATGCCTAGAATAGGGTCACACACATAGAACATATGAAAGTGTAGAATATTTAAGTGGAGTAAAGTTGCACTTTATTTATATATTGTGTATATTATATTGTGTGACAATATGATTAGATACACAAACACATATATAAATAAATATTTATATTTGGACATTTTAATTATGTGATAATTAAGTTTGTCAAATATATTTAATAATAATAAAGTATATATAT